AGGCCCCCGTTTCGAATACCTTCGCTCAAAATCAAAATAAACCAAAAAGAAAAGCTGCTAAATAAACCACGTCCTGTATTTTTGCTGGATGTATTTATCCGGTATGATATGTGCATATTTCCAAAGAAAAACTCTTGCTTTTCAAGAATTGGAGGGTGGGGTGGGGGGCTTAAAACAGAAGACCAAAACAGAATCTAGACAAACTTTTTTATTTTATTTTATAACTGCTATTTAGCCCTGATGACATTTTTAAAAATATCCTTCTGAAAATTGAACATTTGAAAAAATTCGACCCAAGCGGCGAGCAGTCGAGACTGTCGAGTGTCGACAGTGTCGAGCACACACTCAAACAGTCAGCACTGAGCGCTCAGACCTCAGCAGTGTCGGTTTTTTTAGGTTTTGTTAAAAAAGACCATCAAAAATCAAAGTTTCTTTGCTCTTTTTCATAGGCTTCTGAAAATTTTAAAACAAGAAGGCTATGTCTTTTTTAAAACAAACCAATACACTATCCAGAGGACCGCGATAAATGTGTGGGTATTTATAATAATAATAAAATTATTAGACTTCTATCTGGCCCTTCTAAATTTTTATTTTCAAAAGCTGAACACTTTTATTTTCTTTTGTGTTTTGTTTTGTTAAAAAAAAAAACAAAAACCAACAACTATAGTACTAAAAATATACACATTAATAAATAATCATTTCTGCATTGCGAATGATCTGATGATCTGAAGAGTGAGAACTGAGAAGACAAGACTGAAATCTATTTTCCATGTATTGTATTATAAGAATACTAGATAAACTGATTTTGAAATGGGCTCTTATAGCGTCACAATTTACTATTTAGCGAGAGAAAGAGGCTGAAAGTGCATCGTGTTTTATCACAGATGACTGGCAGATGACCATGGATCATTCGATCTAAATGGTGGTTTGAAGAAGTGGTGAGCTATTTATATTAGCTATATTTAATAACAGACTGGAACACCGAAAACATTAATTTGCGTATATAAATATACTTAGGTACAATGGCCGATTGTAATGTTCTGCCCAGAGAAAATATGAGTCTGGTGAATTTAATAATCATTGTTACAGCCTTTGCAGCTACCGGCAATGGTCATGGCTACCTCAAAGTTCCACTCGCGAGGGGTGGTGCAGACGATGACACGCCATCCAATAATATGTGTGGTGGCAGCAACGAAGTAGGAGCTCTGAGAGCAACATACGTAGCTGGAGAAACTGTAGAATTCACCATCGATATTACCATACCGCACAGCGGCGGTTATTATGAATTCCGAGTGTGCACTGACTTAGACAAAGCAAACAGACAGTCGTGTTTCGATAAAAACCGTATTCCTAAGCCCTCAGCCGGATGGATTTCTCAGAACAAGAGATGATGATACAGAATTGGTTGCAAAATACATATTACCAGATGACCTTGAATGCGAAGATGCATGCGTTTTACAGTGGGTGTGGGTAACCCCTGACAACGGGGATTACCATGGATGTGCAGATATACATATCCTAGCGCAAGATCTTCCTGTTGAAGAGACTCGTGAAGAGGGTATAGATGACAATGATGACCCCGAATTATCCGAAGATAAAAGAGGGAAAAAGGAAGACTATGAAATGATAATCAACAACCCCGAATAAATTGTAAAAAGTCCCGGGATTGATGGGAGTAAGTATGCAAGTTCAGATGTATTAAGCCCTGGAGACCCAAAAATCCCAGAAGAAACCTTGGATACTACAGTTCCTAAACCGCTTGATAAACCCGAGGATTCAGTTGAAATATCTGATCCAATTCAAATTCCTGGGAGATGGCCACCTTTGTGGACAGTAGCAAGAGGTTTTAGCTCACAAGCGCTGATTTCGCTCTTCGACGTAAAAGACTTCGTATTTGATTACAACAACATCGCTATAACGAATGAAGGAGTTGGTAGTAGCTTTCAAAGAGTCACAGTAAACGATAACTTAGTGCTAATAACTGGCGGCATGGCACAGACAAAAAGCATTCTTCAACCTTGCAGTACGAATTTACCGCATATGCACCCTCGCGCTACTGAATTCATTTATTTGGTTTCTGGGAGCTTGACAGCCGGGTTCATAGAATAAAATGCCATACGGCGTGTAGATAATGTGATACATGCCGACCAGTCTATCCTAATACCCCCAGGGCTACTTCACTACCAACGAAATCTAGGCTGCGAGCCACCATGTATATATCCAACTTTAATAGCGAAGATCCTGGATTTATTACATTACCTGCACAGTTGTTTCAATTGCCTACTGATGCCGTAGCAGCGGCATTTGGCCGATCGATGGAGAATATAGAGATGCTGAGATCAAATCTCCCAAATGGTCCCGCAGGAGCCACAGAGGAGTGCCGACGGAGAGGTATTTTGTAGCAAACCTTTTTATGGATGAATCAATCAACGCAGTATATTATCGCACGATGGTTGTACAATGGTTGATGAATATGCGCATAGAGTCCATGCCACGATACACCTGACACTATGTCCCGTGTGCGCAAATCCGACCCTTCCAGGTGCATGACAGCAACTCCTACTTCTACTTGATTAATCTCCGCGCCACCACTATTGCACTGCACACACCAGCAGTCCCACAGCCCAAACTCGTTAGATTCGCATTCGTGTTACTGTGCTCGGCCCAATACAGTGTCGATAGTGATGACCTCACCAGTCATCATTACTGACTGTATATTTATTGCAATAGAGGATGTGCACCATAATTGGATATTCAACTCTGCATAGCACAGACTGCAGCAGTGCAGTCTTATGACTTACTTATGCTCCATGAACGGAACCGTGGTGCGAAATGCGAAATGCGAAATGCCTTTTTTTTATAAACAAAATCTACTCTCATAGCAAAATATACTAAGATCCAGATTCCAGGCTCCAGCCTTTCCAGGCCCAGCCTTTCCAGGCCCAGCCGCCTAGGTCCCAGGTCAGACCCAGGGCCCCAGGCCCAGGGGCGAGGGCGGCACCGCGGCACTCGGCAGGGCCTTTACTAAATAGTTACTTGTCACCCTATTAAACTAAAAATATGTAAAAATGCATTACTAAATAAATACGGAACACATACATACTCTTTGGCTTTCAGGCTTTACCGCTTCGGGAGGGGTGTGCACAATTACACATAATATTAATGGATAACGCATTATGCAATACTATTCGATTTAGGGCTAAACCGCTAAAGACTAAGGGGGTCGAGGCGTTGTGCAGGACATGTCGGGAGGCGGGATCCGCGTCACCGCGTGAGGCAGGGCAGGCCTGGCCTTTGGGGAGGGCCAAGTCATACACAAGTCCCTGAAGGGAGGGGGGGAAAAACCAGTTTTGAGTTCTCCGCCAATGAAACTATTTCGATTCCAACATTTACCCCTTGCACACCCTTGGCCTTCTAATTAATTAAACAGAAGGCAATGGCACGGCACTTTGCAAATATTTTTTTTAATATTTATATATTTATTTAGTCGATATGCAGTGGTCAGAGATTTGCACAATGAAATAGGATACCTTACGTTGTGAATTGAAACAGACGTCTCGCGTGTGCACTATCTGGTTGCAACTATGGCGAAGTCTCAATACGAATATGTGAAGCAATTCGAGGTAGCTGAAAAGGCCTTGCTCAACACGTGGATGGTCGTTCGATTGGATGGGCATGCATTCTCTAAGTAAGTTATGGTATATAAATAGTAGGGCAGCAGTCTGAATGATGGGTTTTACTCGAGCTAAATATAGTTTCAAGTGTCTTTGATGGTCAAAATACTACTGGAAGGGTGCTTATAAATAAATATTTATTGTAAGATGCACCGCATACGGCTTTTCTGAAGGGTTTCAACACGCGGATGTATTTCTTTGACTGCTTGTAGTGCATCTTTAATACTCGATTGTGATATTTTGGATGTGAACCTGTAAAATACATATATATATATATATAAATGTCTTTCCTGTGCATTATGTAAATGTCTTTCCTGTGCATTATTTATATGTGTGTATCAGGTAAATAGATGACCTGTACATGTTTATTTCCACAAACGTAATACATATGTAAAAACAACGGTAGGTGTGTACATATGAATCGATTTTATATGTGAACATATAGGACAACTTATTTACAAAGCGTTATGAATTTGTAGACACATATGTATAAGATATATGTTAGCTTCGTACATATACATCTATATTACACACACTCACAGACACACACACACACACACACACACACACACACACACACACACACATATATATATATATATTCATATACAAGTATACAAGTATATATAG